TATTGAGATTTTTAGATTCTTCCTGGTTAAGTTTTGGAAGGTTGTATTTATCTAGGAATATGTCCATTTCCTCCAGGTTGTCTAGTGTGTTGGAGTAGAGTTGTTCATAGTATTTTCTAACAATCCTTTGTATTTCTATGGGGTCTGTTGTTATTTCTCCTCTTTCATTTCTGATTTTGTTTATTTGGGTCCTCTCTCTTTGTTTCTTGGTGAGCCTGGCTAGAGGTGTATCAATCTTGTTTATCCTTTCAAAGAACCAGCTCTTGGTTTTGTTGATCTTTTGTATTGTTTTTTTGGTCTCTATGTCGTTTATCTCCGCTCTGATCTTTGTTATTTCCTTCCTTCTGCTTACAGTGGGCTTTTTTTGTTACTCTCTTTCTAATTCTTCGAGTTGTAGAGTTAGGTCATTTATTCTCATTGTTTCTTGTTTCTTGCAGTAGGCTTGTAGAGCTATGAACTTCCCTCTCAAGACTGCTTTTGCTGTGTCCCATAGGTTTTGGATTGTTGTGTTTTCATTGTCATTTGTTGCCATGATGTTTTTTATTTCTTCTTTGATCTCACTGGTGACCCAGTCGTTGTTTAATAGCATGCTATTTAGTCTCCATGTGTTTGATTTTTTTGGATTGTTTTTGTTGTAGTTGATTTCCAGTTTTATGCCTTTGTGATCTGAGAAGATACTTGATATGATTTCAATTTTCTTGAATTTGAAGAGACTTTGTCTGTGACCCAATATATGGTCTATCTTTGAAGATGACAAATGTGCACCCGAGGAGAATGTATATTCTGTGACTTTGGGGTGAAATGTTCTGAAGATGTCAATTAATTCCATCTGATCTAGTGAGTCATTTAGGATTGATGTTTCTTTGCTGAGTTTCTGTTTAGAGGATTTGTCCAGTGGAGATAATGGGGTGTTAAGATCCCCTACTATGATTGTATTGCTGTCAATCTCTCCCTTGATCTTCTCCAGAAGATTTCTTACGTATTTGGGTGCTCCTATATTGGGTGCATATATATTTACCAGAGTTATTTCTTCTTGTTGGACTGCTCCCTTTAGTATTATGAAGTGGCCTTCTTGATCTCTTTTTATGTCCTTCACTTTGAGATCTAATTTGTCAGATATAAGTATTGCTACCCCGGCTTTTTTTTCACTTCCATTGGCCTGAAAAACCTTTTTCCATCCCTTCACCATCAGTCTGTGTGCGTCTTTTTTTGTGAGGTGGGTTTCCTGTAGACAGCAGATATATGGGTCATGTTTTCTTATCCACTCATTTACCCTATGCCTTTTGACTGGGGAATTTAATCCATTTACATTTAAAGTTATTATTGATAGAAACTTGTTAGTCGCCATTTTTGTTCTTTACTGCTGCGTTCCTTCTCTGTTTCCTGTTTTTTCTATTTACAGCAGACCCTGTAGCATTTCTTGCATTGCTGGTTTGGTTGTAATAAACTCCCGTAGACCGTTTTTGTCTGTGAAGCTCCTGATTTGACCCTCAATTTTGATTGATAGCCTCGCTGGGTATAGTATTCTTGGATTCAGACCCTTCCTTTGCATGACTTTGTATATTTCATTCCATTCCCTTCTTGCCTGATGTGTTTCTGTTGAGAAATCGGTCGCTAGTCTGATGGGGGATCCTTTGTAGGTAACTTTCTGTCTCTCTCTGGCTGCTTTTAAGATTCTTGCTTTGTCGTTGGTGTTTGCCAATTTAATTATTATGTGCCTTGGTGTCGGTCTTTTCGGGTTCATTTTGTTTGGGACTCTGTGAGCTTCTTGGATTTGTGTGAGTTTTTTTCTCCCTATATCCGGGAAATTTTCTGTTACTATTTTTTCAAACAGGTTTTCTATTCCTTGCTCAGTTTCCTCTCCTTCTGGCATCCCTATTATTCGGATGTTGTTTCATTTAGCATTGTCCCAGAGTTCTCTTAGGCTCTCCTCCTGCTTTTTAATTTTTTTTTCTAGAAGCTGTTCTGTTTGGGTATTTTTTTCTACCTTGTCTTCTAGCTCGCTGATGCGGTCCTCTGCTTCTTCTAGTCTACTGTTGATGCTTTCTATTGAGTTCTTTATGGCAGTGATGTCGTTTTTCATTTCTTCTTGGTTTCTCTTCATTTCCTCTTGGTTCTTCTTCATTTCCTCTTGGTTCCTACACATATTGTTGAATTGGTCTTCCATTTTTTTCATCCACCTTATGACCATTACTCTGAATTCTTTCTCTGACAGGTTGCTTGCCTCCATTGCCTCCATTTCGTTTACTTCCTTTTCTGATGATGCCTGTTTTTCTCTCATATTTGGGTTGGTTCTTTGTTTCACCATGATTTCTCTTCTCAAGGTGTTTGGTTATGTAGTTCTCTCTCTGCTGCGCTGATTCAAAGGCACAAAATACAACACAACAAGGCACAACGTACAAGGCAACAAACTAAATGCATTCACGATATTAATAACCCCAAATAAAGGTGACCCCCCGAGCGAAGAGAATTAGGGGATATAGAAGAAAAAATAGAAAAAGATTAAAGAGAAAAATAAAAAACAAAAAGGAGTGCCGAAATGAGATTGGGAAAAGGGAGAGAAGGAAAAAAAACAAAAAAACAAAAATACAAAAATACAAAAAAAAAAAAAAGTTAGAGAATGAAATAGAGGTGGGGAATAGGCTATTTGTATGGGGAGAGCGAGGGATTGGAAATTAGATATATAAGTAGAGTGAAATTTAGACAGTGGTTAGAAAGAAGGAATAGGTAAAATCCAAAGCAGGAATAGGGTAAGAGAAACAGGACAACAAAAGGGGAAAAGTGAGGAAGAGAGTTTTGGCTTAAGGGTAAATGTGAGCTAGAGAGAAATGATGCTAAAGGAACGATGAAAATAGTGTGTATAACACTAATCCCAAAATAAAATAAAGAAAAATTAAAAAAATAATAAAAAATAAAATGACACTTGAAAAAATGGTAAAAGGATAGCAATAATACTGGTTAAAACAATGTAGTAATTAAAAAGGTAAAATCAAGTGATGAAAAAAATAAAATAAAATAAAATAAAATAGGTTCTTAATGAAATGGTGAAAAAAGAATTTAAAATATATATATATATATATATATATATATATATATATATATATATATATATAAAAATATTCGGAAGTGAAGGTGCTTCAGATCTTCCACTCTTCTTTTTGGCACGCCTCAGTCCTGCCAGGCATTCAGGGGAGTGTTGAACTTCCCTGCGATACACTGTCCCTCCGTGCGGTAAACCACATACCTGATTTTAAGGCAGCTTGTATTTGTTTACCAGACTGCCTTTATTTGTGATCGTAGAAGAGACAGTTCGTGGCTCTGCCTCTGGGTGGCAGTGTGTCTGGGTTGACCTCCGAGGCTATAAGTCCTCTCTATCAGTAGGGTTTTTTGTTTTTTTGTGGTTTTTTTTTTTCCTCTATGGTATTGGGAACTGATTCAGGAAAGACCACTGCCCAGAGCTGGTTCCTTGCCACTGCCCGCTGTTTCCCAGGCTCCCCAAAAAGAACTTTCCCCTACAGGCTCTGTGAATGACCCCAACTGGGGAATCCCATGCACTGGGTTTAATAATCAAATGCACGGATCTAAGGGGAACTGTAACAAGAGCCTGATAGTTGTGCGAATTCGCAAGCCTCCACCTTCCAGGCCTGCGCACAGTCTCCGCGCGCAGTCTCCGCGCGCTCACTCGCCCCTGGCACCAAGCAGCCAGCAGATTGGCAAAGTCCAAGGCTGCTCCCTTACATCCAGTCCAGCTATGGGCTCATTTTTCGCGTTCCCTTCTGCCAGCAGCCCTGTGGGGCCCCTTCCCCACTCGCGGGTCACGCTGGTCCCAACGGCTGCAGACTCTGTGGGGCACAGATTCTGCCCTGCGCGCGCGCGCGAGCTCGGTCCTCCCTCCAACCCGAACTTCAAACCGCACCTTTAGGGGATGTCCAACCTTTCCGTGAGAAGAAGCAGTGCTCGTCTGAGTTCAGGCAGTGACAGATCCCTTGTTTCCAGGGTAGTAGCTGGTCTCTGGATGCCGGCAACAACCACCCAAGATGGCGCAGTCATATAGTTTTTCTTATAAAGTTATTTTATGAGGAGTGTGGGCAACTTAAACTCTAGGCACAATTTTAACTCTTTTCTTCTAAATTTCAGAAGCTTCTCCTCTTCTTCCTTTGCATCGTGAGAGATGGGGAACAAAAGAGACTACCCCCTTTGATGAATAAAAGACTAAGCCCATTCTTTGCTAGTGACAATTTCTTCTATTGAAATGAAAGCAATGCATTTAGACCCAATGGTCTGTGTTAACAAGCTAGTCCTTATGATGTTATAGCCTTATGTAGAAGTCAGGATTACTGGTGGTTTGGCTATCATCCTACCTGAAGAAAAAAACAAGATCAGAAGATCTCTTAGCCCTTCTTACTAGAATATAACTATTGCTGATTTTTGGAGGCAAAAAAATGTACCTGTGGGAGTCATGGCATTGATTTCCTGGACACCCCTACCAAACTGAACTTTTTGCACAATTTAAATAAAAATATCATAATATTCAGGAAATGTAGTTGAAGTGTCCACAGTGCCCCCCTTGCACTTAAGAGATAGCAGGGTTAGCAAATGTCTTACTCTTCACACTATTCTTTGTCTGTTGTATAAGGTGAGATACACCCACAGATTTCTCTATACTATTTATGGGAGGGTGTTCACAAAGGTCTTAGGTGAGGATGGTGAGCACAAGAAGTCAAGATCTATAAAACAAAAATGGGTGGGATTTTGTTTTCCTAGGATTTTTTGTTTTCCCCAAACACAAAGTCTATTCTAATGGCACATAGATTGTTTCACTCAACAGATATTAATGAGCATCTTCTTTATTATCAGGCCCTAGGAATGCAGAAATGACAAAGTCCCTATCATTAAGGAACTGTTTAATAAGGGAGATAGGACAAGTATTTAGGTTACCTTGACCCTGAGCAGCTATAAAGTCTGTAAGAGGTGTCTATGAAGTTCAGAGATTGGAGAACTCAGATGTGGCTGGGAGACCAGGCGAGTCTCCAGGAACGCGATGACATTGAGCTGGGTGATGAAAGTCACGGATGATGGGTCGGAGTGGACAAGTAGGGTCTTCCTCAGACTTTGGTGGTATTGAACTTGATGCTCCCTCTCTGATCCTAGGCAGGCCTCAACAGCAGTAGTTTGCACATCCATCTCCCCAGGAATGTAATTTAGACTTAGTCATACTCACCTCCACTCAGGTCAATCTGAAGGCCCCAGACTTCTGGTCACTCACTCACATGTGAATCCCTTTGATCCAATCACAGGTGTGTGTAGCTGAGGAATTCATCCTTGGGGATTGTGAAACATCCGGATAGATAACCTGCTCCACGGCTGTCCTCCAATAACATGTAGCCTGGAGGCTTCAACTGGAGGACGTATAAATGGCCTCTTCCTTCCTGGCCCCACAAGGCCTCCAGACTCCTCCAGGGGTGACTTTTCCACACATCTTCTAGGGTGAGGTTACTTCTGAGTGGGGAGACACTTTGATGTGCCTCACTGAGATGCTGCAAAGGCAGCCCTAATCTTTCCTCTTGTCTCTTCCCAGAGGGTAGATAAGCCAGGTAGGAGAGATTTGGGTAGAGAGAAGGGAGGGCAAGTGGGTCCCTGCAAAAGACCTGGAATGATCTCACATGGGAGAATGCCATGGAAGCTAGAGGGCCAGAGAAGAACAGAAAGTACAGACTTGAGTCTTAGGACAAAATAAAATTGAGTGAAGAGAGCCAAGACCCCGTTCTCCTTTACATTTGACCATGGTAGACATTGGCCTGGGAAACGTGGACTAGGTTGCATATTGTTTTTCTCATTTAGGAAGGAGAGTAAGTGATTGTTGGTGAATGGGTCCCCTGGGATTCCCATCACGATTTACTCCCCAAATATTTAGCCCTTTCATATCCATTTTTTATCCTCCTGGGATGGATTTTAGCAGACTGCAAATGCTAGGCTCCCTTTGACAGCTCCAACTCATGGAGAAGAGAAACAGGCACCTAAGTTCCTGGTCTAACTGAATGCTCTTTTTCCTTCCAGCTTCGACTTGCTAGCCCAGCGATGTCACAGCAGAAGCAACAATCTTGGGAGTCTTTTCGGGCTCCCAAATACTCCCTTCCCCAGGAACCACACCCCTCCCTGGCTCCCAGCTCTGACCCTTGTTGCACTCCCTGTTCAGGAGGCTGTGGTTCTGGTTCCCAAAGCTCCGGGACTCAGAACCCGGCCGGTGCCCGGAGGGCTAGCCGAACGCCCCGCTGCCTCAGGGGTGGAACGGTCTACCACATCAAAGAGGAGGAATGTTGAGGTGACCAGCGAGGAGAGGGGCATAGGGATAGGTGTTCTCTCCCCACCCAGGTCTTGTGTACTCCTTCCACTGGGAAGCTCAGGACCTTCCCTCTCTTTTGGGTCAGGAAACACCTCCAGGCCCCAGCACTTAAGAAGTGAGATCTCAGCCAAGCTGCACTTCTGATTCTGTCTTCCACCCCCCAGCTCAGCAACGAGACAGCTGCTTCGTTTGGAGCCCTGGCTGCTGTGACCTTGAAGCCTCAGCTCAGATGTGCCGAGACCTCCACAGGTGGAAGCTGTCCCTCCTCTCCTCCTAAGATAGCTGACAATGTTTCAAGGAGACAGATGGTTTGAGATGCTTGACTGAGTTCTCAGCATTTTCACGGCCATCAACCGATGTCACCACATAATCCTAGCACTGAAGGCTTCAATGTAATAAACTTATGCTTGTACTAGTACCTACTGTGTACGGGGCTCTGTGATTGCAGATGCAAGTAGGAGTTTTGTCTCTGCTCTAGAAAAGCTTACAATCTAGTTGGAGAGGCAATGTACTCTCTAGATTGGAATATGTGAACTAATGAATATAATTTTAAGCTGATTGACTTATTTTTTCCCACTTTGTGTCAAAAAATACTTAAAGGGGAAACAAAAAGTTCAAAAGGTCAAGGACAGCAGGGAGAGGCTTATGTTGGCTTAAGGTGGTTTCCCCGGGCTGGATAAGGACACATTTGTAATATCTTAATCAATAAAGGGAAAATAAAAAAATAAAATAAAATAATAAAAAAGACATGCTAAAAAAAAAAAGTCTGAAACAGAGAGAGCATGTGTGTTGTCGGAGGGAACAGGCTCCCTGGGGTAGGTAGCCTTTAAACAGGGCCTTTAAAGTTAAGCTGGCTCTGGTCCTGTGAGTGGAGTGAGGAGGAAGAATCCTTCAGGTGGAAGATACTGCATAAACAGATGCATGTCATGTGTGGTACTTGCCAACGGCATGAATTTTAATTTGGCTGGAGTGTCAGGTGTAAGATGAGGATGTGGGACTGTAACCTGAATTCCTTATAATAACTCAAATCAGCTGAGTTACTGAACTTAAGGTAGAAAATCCCAGCTACCAAAGTACTGTCATCTGGGGAAAGTCTGGGCCAAGTTCAGGGTCTATAAGCCTGAAGTTGGGGGAACCTGTGGTAAAGTATAGGGGTCTGGAGGGGCTTGAGGCTCAGCTATGTTACATATCAACCTAGGTTCCACGGAACAATGTTTATCTGATTCTCACTTTCTGGAGGGGTGGACAGAAAATATTTTTTTCCAAGTACTCACCCTAATAGATTATATTGTAGAGGATGCCTATTTCCAGGACTTAGTAGTCTTCCTGATTGCTGGGGCCTGATTTTGTCTCTACTACTACTATATATATATATATATATATATATATATATATATATATATATATATATATATATCTGTAGGTATATCAAAATTATATAAAATTATAATTTTGTGTGTATAATTTTTCTAATTAAGCAAATGATACATACTCGTTTCATGTTATAAAGATTTGTTAAGGTAGATAAGCATAAGTAAGATGATTAAGACTAATTGCAAATCTTATCACCTCAAATAACCACTGCTAATAATTCCATAGATTTCTACATTTCCTGAAAATTATAAAATGGGATAACTTCAGAATATTTTATAACCTGTGTTTTTAACCTAACAATATAATTTATGTCAATACTCTTCTATGTTCATAAATAAATAACACTATTGTGTGAAGACACCATCATTTGTGTAACTAGTTTCCTAATATTGGACACTTACGTTGTTTCCATTCTTGTGCTGTCTAAACATAGTAAAATAAACATTCTCATTGGTGATTATTCTTAGTAATTTTCTGAATTGTAATTCTAGAATTGTAAAAGCTTATGAAGATTTTTTTTCAGCATTTGGGAGCAGTTAAAATACCTCAATTTAAGTAAATCATTTTCAGGAAAGAGATTTCTTTTTCCAGCTAAAGGAAGAATTTAGTTATGCAGAAAAGCAATGTCAGAGAAACCTGACAATATCTGCCTAGTTTACTGTCATAAAATCAATATTTGTAATGAAAGTATAGATGCTTCTCCTTTTGAGAGGAAAAAAGGTGCTTTATGGTATATAAAGCTATGTCTTATAAGTTTTGATAGACCATTTCTTGAACTTCCATATTTAGCTCATAGGTATTTAAACATGATTTTAAAAGTTCTGTTATGTTTGTGTGAGAGATTTCTGGGGGAAACTATAATTTTTCCCTAAGAAAAAAAGCAAAATATTAATGTTTTGTTGACTGTGTAAAGCTTACCATCTAAAAATATCTGGTTTTTTATTTTTGCTCTTTATTAAAAACAGATATTCACCAAACACCTATTGGAGAAAAGTTTGACAAAAACTAATGCTCTTTGACAAAAATACTACTTAATATTTTGGCCTATTCACATTTTCTTAGTCAGTACTTGGATTCCCTGTGCTAATTGTTCAACTAGTATATTATTCATCGGTACACTGTAAAGAATTTCTGTGAGTTTATTTGAGTCAAACTGTTGACAATTGCTGGGAAGCAGGATCTCAAGTTATTGGGATAATGCTCCAGAGAATGGCAGTTTTTCACCTTATTTTATACATTACAATCAAAGGAGGAGAGGTAAGTGGGTTACATGAAATGATAGATTAGGGAGTTGGAGAAAGCAAAGGGTGGGGGACCTCTGGGATTGGATAAAAAGTAAAATGATAGATACGTATGTCTTTTACTTAGGTCAGTATAGGATAGTTAATAGTCAACAATTAATATGCTAACAATAGCAATGAAGGAATTTATGATATTTGTCCTACAGCCCAGGGCACTTGGTTATGCCTTGAGGGGTCTGGAAAAAAGGAAATTACAAGTTACCCCGACTATTCAACAATATAAACAAAACAAAAAACAATATGTTTTTGTAGATGCGAAAAGACAATAGGCTCAGTCAAGGTAAAGACTGACCTTTGTCAGGGAGAATACTGGCCTAGGACGTGACCACCCACCATAACTGCTTCTAGTTAAAGGTTTAATTTCAGACTATCTTTTATGGTTACTTTAGGTCTTTGAGTTTGATGCAGGCCTCCCTGAGCTTGTCAGGGAGGCCTTTCTTGTCCATAGAAGATATTAGAGAGAAAAGAGGCTGTCATGCTGGTGCCACATGATATTCGTGTGTGCCCCCCAATGCCATGGGTATAGGACTCAGAAGCTGGGGAATACCTGGGATTACAGTAAATAATGGTAATGCTGGCACTGTACTGCTTATGGAACACCACTGAATGCAGGACAGTGTTGGTTTCTTTGCTCATAATATTTCTTTTAACCATCATATTATACATGGTGGGCCTATGTGTTTAGCTCACACTGTACAGACAGGGAGAATAATTGGCTTTAGAGGCCACCTCATAGAAGGGATGGAGGTGTGTTAGAATGAGTAAGTCTTTCCCCTTTCTTTTGTCTACTAATTGCGATGCGCTAAGACCCACAGGGCCATTGGACATGGTTATTGAACATGGGTCATGAATGTTTCCTCCATCCCAAGAGAAGCATCAGCTCTTCAATGACCAATGAATTCCATTGCCCTTGGGAAGACTGTGAATTCCCTTCCAATGATCTTTGCCAGAGTCAGACCCACATGCGGCCTGCTCACTGGGATTCTAGCCCAATGGAGGACGGCTCACAGGCCTGACTGCTTTAGGCAGAGGAAGGTCCTTGTTTTCCTTTCTTTCATCGCTTGGGAATGAGCTTGATAAGAATCTCATGCATGTCAATGCTGGCCTCGCTGGAACCTCACCCTTCTGTTAAGGGGCACACCTAACACAGGCAGGAATCCATAGCACGTTTGAATCCTCAACAGGCAGGATGATGAGGGAATGTTTGAGCAAATGACAGCAGAGTCCAGGAATGCATGAACTGTGCTTAGGGAGGCCTCAGTCAGGTAAAGACCCCCAATTACCTTCCAGCCAGTCTCTCTGTCTACAAGCTCATTAACAAAGCTTGCCCAGGTCCAGTTTCTGAGTCTCTTATCACACTTTAGCCTGGCCATTCACAGACTTCAGCTTCTTCAGTAACCAAGTCAAGGTCACCTGATACCAATAATCTTCCTAAAATGTAAATCTTATCATGTTGCTTCCTTACTTAAACGACCAAAGATGCCCCAATTGCTTCTGACCAAACTTTTTAAGCAGCATTATCCTGTTTTCAAGTTAAATCTAATGTATACCTCCAAAATACAAAGCAGGTAAAAGCGTAATTTCTCTGCAGCATGGGGTCAGTGGAAGCCCAGATTTTTGCCTCCTCCTAGGCAACTTAAATAGTCAAGGATTAAGAATTGATGGTATTTTCAGGCAGATTGCTCTAGTGAGAGTGTGTGTGTTGGGGGAGGTGGAGGGATTGAGCAAAAAAGAGAAAGCTCATGGACAACAGTGTGATGCTTGCAGGAAGGTAGTGGGTGGGAGGAGATGGAAGGTGGCAGAGAGGGGATAAATGGTGATGGAAAAAATTAAAATAAAATTTTTAAATAAAAAATATTCTTTAAAAAATTGATGGTATTTTAAAAATGTGACTCAAAGTTTTTAGGAACCCCCATATAAGTAAAGTGATGAGGAAAAATAAGTAAATTAAAACATATTTTCAACCTACTATCTGTCAAATGCCTGTGCTCCAATTCTAGACCCATCTTCTTCCAGCTTCTGTACTATGTAGATACATGAAGCTGATGCAACAGACAATGGTGGAGGCATGGAGGGAGGGTGGGGAGCACCCAAACACAGAGCAACTCATACTGTCAGGAGGAGTGGCTCATGAAAGAGGTGATGTTTGAACATCCTTGGCAACAAGGCTTCAAAGACTCTAATTTGGAAACCATTTATCTATAAGCTAAAGTACACAACCCAGCAAGTAAAGCTCTCGTGTTCTGGGCCCTTCCCTTCTTTCTGTCCAGCTAATGTCCCACTTCTCACCCTTCTCCAATATCATGGCCCCTCTGTTTCCCCAAGAGATCAAGCCCTTTCACATCTCTGTGCCCATGCACGCATTCTTCTCTCCTTCTAGAACAGCAATTATCCCTCATTTCCTGACTACCTTCCATTGTTTTTGAGCCTTAGTCTCTTTTATCTGTAAAATAGGATTAACAATAAGAAACTCATGGAGCTATTGTGCTGCAACAGTGCAAACAACATGTTTGATGGATGGAAGGTTGAGAATAAATTTGCACTTCCTTTTCCTCATATCATCCCATTTGTACCATTCCTTAAGGGCAAAAAAGTATCTTCATCTTTGAATTCTCAAAACCCTGCACAAAACAGGCACTCAGCAATTAATATCCATGAAGGAGTATTTGCAAAGTTACTACAAGAAGCGAGTTTCTCTTGGGATAAATAATTTTTCATTATTGAACCAGTAGTTCCTTCATGGTGTTGGATCAACACAATAGAACAATACTTTCCAACCTTTTAAAATTATTTGTAATATCTTGTTGGGGGCCATGGCAGGAAAGGAGCGTACTTTTACCTATCCCTACATATCTGGGCCTCAGTATCTCATATTCTCAGTTAGGAGAGGCAAATCAGGCAAGAGTCCCAAATACTGTATACACAACACTCTGCTTTGGCACAAGGCCAGAAGTTAAGTGATTTTCCTCTAATAAGTAGGATGAACTAAACAGATTAGATGGAGTTGCTTCCTCATAGCATGACCTACCTTTGAATATTTCATATCCTCATAGACACTCCAGCGACCATCTCTCCCTTCTTCATCAAGTTCACCAAACATCGCCAGCCCCAGGTAAAATATGTTCAGCAGAAAGAAAGAAGAGACCAGGAAAGGAACACTTGGGCTAGGTGTTAGCTTCTTGGAGATCTGATGCTCATAAATGCAAATACAGACTTAAAGCTGTGCTGAGATCATGTGGTCCAGTCTCCTCTGAACCCAGGAGTATCAGAGCCAGGACCAGAGCCCTGACTTCCACTGCAAAGCCCTCGTTGTGGGCCAGTATCCATGACTCCATTCTTGGGGCAGCATTCCACACCTGTCCCATGTGCCTGCCTTTGACCTGCTTCCCAAGGGACCCTCTCTAAGGAGTGGAAGGAGGGAGATTTTAACTTCACCCACAAATGACTCATTAATTCATTGAACAAATTTTTTTTTTGAGTACATACAAGAATGTTAAGCACTGTGTAGATGCTGGAGATAAAGAGTGAACCAGCTAACACTGAGTTTTCATTCTATCCAGGATGATAGATATTAAAAAATAAATACAAGCCAGTTGTTACCAGAAATACAGATACCCTAGGGGCATTTCCTAGGAGAAACTAATGTAATTGAGGTTGAAGATATAAGGATCCAGAGCAAAAGAGTAGAGTCAGGCATTAGGAAACGAAAGGGGCTGTTCCTCCTCTAACACAGGAAGTCATAAAGGATGGGTGCAGGCATGGGTTGGCTTGAATACTGGTAGTAGGAAGTGGAAGTACCTTACATTTGACAGCTACTGTTTGCCCCAAGAAGCAGCAGCAGTATTATCTAAGCACAGGCAGCAGAGAAGGTTTGATAGAAGAGGAATCTTGTGTGTGTGTGTGTGTAGTGAATACAGAGAAGTATATAGGATTGCCAAGCAGTGCTTTGAAACTAGCCTAGGTGGATGATCTTGATCTTATGATAATGCCAACCTGCCAAAGTATCTATTTTTAAAAAAATAAATTATTTCCATAGCAGCTAGGCATAGCAGAGAGGATTCATCCAGAGTTGAGGTTTTGTTAGTCAAGTGTATTGACAGGCCAAAGGGGTGAAGAGTTTACTGTCTTGGCAAAAGAATGGTTGAAATGATGGACTATG